AAGTGTCGATCTATCTCCACGTGTTTAGTTCAATCATGATGAACCGGATTCTTAGCTATACTGATGGCGGCTTGGTTATCGCAGTATAAAATCATGGGATGCTCAGATGGAACCCGTAATTCTTCTAACAGCTTGTTCAACCAGATTCCCTCACAGACACCTAGTGCCATAGCACGAAATTCTGCCTCAGCACTACTACAGGCTACCACTGACTGTTTCTTGCTTCGCCATGTAACCGCGTTCCCCCAAACAAACGAACAATAGCCAGAAGTTGATCTTCGATCAGTCAATGAACCTACCCAATCTGCATCTGAAAAAATCTCAATTTTTCTATTTGTTGTTCTTTGGAAGAAGAGACCTTTTCCCGGTGTCCTTTTTAGGTACCTCAATATTCTGATCACAGCAGTCATGTGTTTTTCGGTTGGATTATTCATGAATTGACTGACCACACTAACAGAGAAGCCGATGTCTGGCCTTGTATGAGAAAGATAAATGAGTTTTCCCACAAGACGTTGATATCTCCCTTTATCACTTGGTGCACTACCGTCACTTTCTTCCAGTTTGATAGTTGTGTCCATAGGTGTTTCTGCCGGCTTGCATCCTAGCATCCCTGTTTCATTCAGTAAGTCTAGAATGTATTTACGTTGTGAGACTGCTATACCTTTCTTTGACCTAGCAATCTTCATTCCAAGAAAGTACTTAAGGTTTCCAAGATCTTTAATCTCAAATTCCTTTGTTAGGAATTTTTTAAGTAAGCCAATTTCCTCTTCATGAGCACCTGTTAGAATTATGTCATCCACATAAACAATGATAATTGCCAATTTCCCTCCTACGGAGTGCTTCACAAAAAATGTATGATCGGATTGACATTGAACAAAACCGTACCCTTTCACTGCCTTAGTGAACCGTTCAAACCAGGCCCTGGGAGATTGTTTGAGACCATACAAGGATTTTCGGAGTCTGCAAACTTTGTTGAAATTTAATGTTGTCTCAAGTCCGGCAGGAATGTCCATGTAAACTTCTTCCTCTAAGTCACCATTGAGAAAGGCATTTTTCACATCAAGTTGGTGAAGTGTCCAATCGAGATTAGCTGCCAAGGATAAAAGTACACGAACAGTGTTGAGCTTGGCAACTGGAGCAAAGGTTTCTTGATAGTCAATGCCATAGGATTGGGAGAATCCTTTGGCAACCAACCGAGCTTTATAACGTTCCACATTACCATCTGCCTTGTGCTTTACTGTGAAAATCCACTTACACCAAACTGGTTTCTTACCTCTTGGAAGATCAGTAATTTCCCAAGTACCATTCTTTTCCAGAGCCCGAACTTCCTCATTGACTGCCGCCTTCCACTTCGGATACTTAAAAGCTTCCTGAATATTCTGAGGAATGGGTATCTCCGTGATGCTAGAAGTGAAGGCACGAAACGAAGGTGATAGTCTATCATAAGAAATAAAGTTCCCAATGGGATGCTGAGTACATGATCTAACTCCTTTTCTCCAAGCTATGGGCATATTAAGAATACTATTTTCTAACTCAGAATTATCAGTACTATCTGTGGGAAGAAGATTGTCACCTGGAATGTTGCTTGGATTAGAACCCGGTTCAGCCTCATGGGATTGTTGAGAAAGTGCTCCTTCCTCCGTTTCCTCTTGGATGTGCTCATTATCCCGCAAGTCAACAATGAACTCAGAATTTTCGGCAGGTAAAGATTGATTCAATGACTCAGGAGGTGTGGGATTGTTGGTGGTGATGGATGGCTCACTAAATGACTCAAGGGTCCAAAATTGATATTCCTGGGTTGGAGTCTCCCCCTGAAGAACGATTTTAGGGTAGTAAGACTGGGTTTCAAAAAATGTGACATCCATGGAAGTGTAGAATTTCCTAGTGACCGGAGAGTAACACTTATACCCTTTCTGATGTGACGAATACCCAATGAAGACACACTTGAGCGACCGGGGATCAAGTTTACCTCGATACTGTTGATGGACATGAACAAACTTGAGCGACCTGGGATCAAGTTTACTTCGATACTGGTGATGGATATGAACAAAGACAGAGCACCCGAAAATTTTTGGTGGGATGGTGGAGATGAGGCGAGTAGTTGGAAAGGATTTTAGGAGGAGTTGACAAGGGGTTTGGAAATTTAGTACCCTAGATGGCATCCTATTAATAAGGTAGGTTGCTGTAAGAACAGCTTCCCCCCAGAAGAATTGTGGAACATTTGTGGAAAACATTAGCGATCTAGCAACATCTAACAAATGCCTATTTTTCCGTTCAGCGATGCCGTTTTGTTGTGGGGTGTCAACACATGAACTTAAGTGAGCTATCCCTTCTTTGGCTAAAAATTCTCCTAGAATGGAGTTGAAATAGTCCCGAGCATTATCAGACTTTAGAATTTGAATTTTTGACTGGAATTGTGTCTGAATCATAATTTGAAAATTTTTGAAGATTTGGCTTGTTTCAGATTTGTCTTTCATGAGAAAGACCCAAGTTAATCTAGTATGATCATCTATGAATGAGACAAACCACCTAGTACCAGTTACATTTTTTATTCTTGATGGACCCCAGATATCACTATGAATTAGTGAGAATGGACGAGACGCTTTATAGGATTGAATGGGAAAATGGGACCGTACATGCTTAGAAAATTGACAGATTTCACAATCAAAAGGTTTTGGATTTTTATTAAATAATGAAGGAAATAAATGCTTGAGATACATAACATTAGGATGACCTAAGCGATAGTGCCACAACATAATTGCTCTATCGTTATTTTGACACGAAACCGAAAAAGAACTACCACAAATTGCCGTTTGAGGTTGTTCCTGTGGATAGTGGCACTCCTTAAGGATGTAGAGTCCAAAGCATTCCTCAGCATTGCCAATCGTCTTCCCCGAATCCAAATCCTGAAATTCACAATGAGTGGAGAAAAAATTAGTAACACACCTCTTTTCCTTAGTGAGTTTACTAATTGACAATAAATTACAGTCCAAGTCAGGAACAAGGAGAACAGAGTTGAGAATAAGATTCCTAGACAGCACAACTGAACCTGTACCGGCAACCTTTGATAGTGAACCATCTGCTATTCGGACCGTTAAATTATTTTGACATGAGCTATATGTATCAAAAATTGTTGCATCTCCCGTCATATGATCAGATGCTCCTGAGTCCACAATCCAAGATTTTTTACGTTTCTTACCAACAGTAAAGGCGTTCAAAGAATTACCTTTGTGAGCCAAGGTTCCGGATCCTATGATGTGGTTGGAAGACGAACCAGATTGTGACTGTAGTAGTTTCTGGAGCATCTCCATTTGCTCCTTGGTGAAAGGGCTTGCTTCAGGTTGTGGTGATAGTTCATTTGTACCTACATGATTACCTCGTCCTTCTTTCTCAAGAGGCTGACGTGGCTTCCAATCTGCTGGCTTTCCATGAATCTTCCAGCAAGTTTCTCTCGAGTGACCCGGCTTTCTGCAATGATCACACCAAGGCCTACCTCCTTTATTTTTCTGACGATTGTCAATAGGAGCGAATTGAGTCTTAAGAGCCGAGCTTTCTGCCATATTCAGTTGTTGATGAGATCCCATCATGAGTTTTTTCCGACTTTCTTCGCGACGGACTTCAGAGAATGCCTCTCTAAGACTAGGTAGCGGTTTTACTCCCATAATTCTTCCTCTGATCTCATCAAGATTTGTGTTCAATCCTAACAAGAATTTAAACACACGCTTCCCTTCGACAATCTTTTTATAAGAGCTGATACAACATCATTATGATACTACAGCATGAAAGAAAACATATAGAAATAAAAAGCAGCCGAAAGCGAAGCATCTGATGAGAAGGCACTACCTATACAACTAAGCAAAGCACTACAACAAAGCATCTGATGGAGAAGCACTAACTAATATATATATTAAATATATATTAATGATATAAGCATGCAGTTGGTATTATTATATTAACAATAGCTTGATTTCCAACAGGTTGTAATGACTGAAAGCTTGTTTTCTTGTTTCTGGTCTTGGTTGCAACTCTTGCTTTCTTTGCTTTTTTGTGTATAAATTGATTTTCAAGGTTTATCCAATTTATGCCATGTTTGATATTTAAAAATGATTTGGAACCCCAGAAGTTCCCCATCTCCGTACTTTCTGATAGTTTGATGGTATTATTATTTCTGTTTGTTGAGTGATTAGACTGATGGAGTTAAAATGTTTAGCGTTACAATGATTGAGGAAACATATATTTTAAGAACATATGTGAGTTCTTGGATCAGTTTGAATGCTTTGCCATAATCCTATATACATAGATGTTTAGTTTGGATTTGTTAATATTTTTTTTTTAATTTTTTACCAGTACAGAGGATGTTTCAGGGAAATGGATCATTCTATTTTCAAACATCATTCTCTTCTTGTTGACACATAATGAGTACAAATTTTATTACAATAACAGCAAGCAACATGATCAAGGACATTACACACCATATTTTTATTGGTTCAGTAGTTCATATCTAATCGTGAGTTTTTGTTTGGTACTAGGTTTTCAAACCAAGGGTGTGAAAAATTTCCAGTGTATAAACTGAGAAATTGGAATTTGTGTAAATAAAAAATCTCCCCAAACATCACCTCTAGATTGTCATTGTACCCACAATGTCTCAGCCCTATCCTTGTCATCCGGTGTGGAAAACCTATTCCACGAATTCAATGAAATCATTTTCCCTTTGTTTATCATCACATATTCCACTTCCAATCTTGCCTGCACTTCACTGAAACACTGATTTCCAGGCCTTGGTTGGTCACTCAACAACCTATCTCCTTAACGAGGATATAAAAATCCGGCTGCAAATGGAAAGGGTTCATTGCTTTCCAGGAACCAGTCCTCGGGCATCAGAATCACAACAATCTTGCCTTCAACAACACTACTGACAACCATCGAGGTACAACCCCCTGCTTAGTTCCAAGCAGTTTCACAGAGAATCATGCAATGTAAAGATAAAAACAAGGCAAAAATTAGAATGAGAACAGCAATTCGCTCTTATGTACCAGTAAGGTAACTTAAATGTGCTTTAGGACATCCTATATAATCGGTATAAAATTTTTCAGACTAATTTTACAGCACCAGCCTTGTGGGTGGTGATCCTGTGAAGATACATATACATTGTGCTTTAACTTGCATGGAAACACATTAGACAATCACAAATTAAACGGTATAAACTTGTTGGTCTAGTCCGATATTTGGCCATGTCTAAACTAAATGACCAACTTAGGAACGACTATACATTATCTGCATAGTGATATTCTCATAACAGAGACTACTATGGAGTGCATCCAAAATTAAAAGATCGAATTTATATAAATTTGGATTCTTGTAACCCGTGAATCAAAGACGAAGCAGCAGAGTTCTCAGCATCTTTAACTTTGGACCTCTCATCTCCTTCCGCAAATAGCACGCACTCGACAGTTTCAACCTGAACTGAACATAAAAATTTCCTCTCATGAGAAGGGCCCTCTTCTTTCACTGTCCTGCAAGCAAAGGCAAAATAATACCAAGAATAAAATTTTATTGCATGCAAGAGAAAGATGGCAAAATACAGAGTATTCAAAAATTGTGTCCTTTCAAAACCCCAAACATTTAACAATCAATTCATGAACATTAGTTCAAACCCAAAAAAAAAAAACAAAAAAAGGTAAATGTAACACTACACTATCCTCTTATAATGGTTTGTTTTAACACGCATGAACCCTCGTACTTTCAAAACCATATTAGAAGAGATTATAAAGCTGAGCTGCCAGTTCCCAGCCGATTCACACACCTCCGGAAATAAATATCACTCTTCAAACCAAAAAACATCTCGTGAATTTGATGATATTGAGACAACTTGGGCAGCCGATAAAGACTCTTTAATACTTTATGACAACTTGGCCAGCCGATAAATCTCAAAGAATAATCCATGAAACCTAACTCGTTTTCCACAAGAATTTGATCATTGTTTTTGTTAAAATGTACCAACACCTACCACTACACCTACTCCACCCACTTCACCTACTACTCCACCTACTACTCCACCTACTACATACCTGCCTCCTTTAATCTTCTATATATAGGACTCATTGTAAACACAACATACATCAATCAATAAAACATACAATTTATTCTCTCTCTATCAATTTATTTTACATCTCTCTATCAATCTATCAATTTATCTTACATGGTATCAGAGCTATAGGTTAAGCTCTTGGTGCTCTTCGCCTTCTGGCAGGCGGCAACGTTGCCTTAGCCGCCCGCCGGACCTCTACACATACCTTCACTCCGCTGCCACAAATTCCATAACTGAATTGAACTCTTGTCTCTCTTCTTGGCTTGACTTTCAACCCAGATTACCAACTCCCTCGTTGCAACAAGATTCACCGGCATTGCTCGCACTTGGAGATGCCAAGGGTAAAGAATTGGCCTCTGGGTTGCCTCTTTTTGCAGGGACCGGTGCAGCATCAGTAACTTCGGTAGTTTCTTCTTTTGTCTCCTCAACAAGAAGTTCTGCCTTCACCTCTGGAGCCTCTTCAGCAGCAACTTCAGGTTCCTCAACAACTTCCTTAATCTTGGCTTCAACTGCCGGGGCTTCAGCTTTCGGGGCAGCTGCTGGCTCCTCTGTTGTTGCTGCTACCTCAGTTGGTTTTTCAGTCACTAGCTCGGGGGCAGGTGGTGCTGCCACTGCCTCTTCTGGCTGGGTCTTGCTCAACTCAGTTGTTTCAATTTCTGGCCGTTGTTTTCTCTGTTGCTGCCAGTGTAACCTCAACAGTGGCTATTGAAAATGCAAATGAAAGCAGAGAGAGAGAGAGAGAGAGAGAGAGAGAGAGAATCTGAAAGCAAGAATGGAAGAGTACAGGCTGTCAGCCGAATAGCTATTTCTTTAATCAAAACCAAAACATATACACACAGAGGACGGCTCTCCCTCTCTCTGGTCTCTCTCAGCTGGTATAGTTGCTCATCATCTGCTAAACAATATACACAAACACATGTCTGCCTCTCTCTCTCATAACAAGTCTTTAGACTCTTCTTCATTTGCAAAGCTTTCTGAAGAAGAGCAAATATACTAGAAACCATGCTGCTGGAAAAGGGTGTGCGCCTTGGCAATTTGATCCGATCTTCCAGTTTTGCTTCTTTATCACAGATTGGAGCTTACTATACATCTCGGGCTGCATCTCCCCTCCAAGAAGCCTGTAAACCTTCTTCTTACAGTGATGATGAGTCCACGGATAGCCCCACTCCAAATCACATTGACCATTACCCATAAAATATCACCATTCCACAATTTTGAAGTGAATAGTGCTGGTGGGCCCTACCACTAGCAAAAGCAATTTATAATAAATACCAACAGCTCACTCCTCAAAAGAAATTTCTAATAATTTCTCTTTCTCACTTTACTTTTTCCCACCCACCAAAACCTAATCATCCTGCTGGCCATGTATCTTCTTCTTTCCACCGAATACCACCCACCTTGTCTCCACTCCTGTTTGCACATGGCATGTCCCTCAGCCTTTTGACAAGTTATTTTTCTATCTTTCTTTTTCATCAATATTTCCTTATTCTACAACTCGTTAGTGAGCATCACCCTTTTTTTCCATTATCTTATTTGTTAGAATTTCCCATCTTTACCTTCACCTACTCCACTACACACTCCACTTCACCTACCTCTACTCCACTACACACTCCACTTCACCTAACCCACTATCACCTCCACTACACCTACTACCACATTTTCTTCTATATATAGATTGTATAGGAATTGTAATTAATCAATCTTGTAATCTATCAATCAAGACATCAATCAATAATACATAAATTCCACTTCACCTACCTCTACTCCACTACACACTCCACTTCACCTACCTCTACTCCACTACACACTCCACTTCACCTACCTCTACTCCACTACACACTCCACTTCACCTACCTCTACTCCACTACACACTCCACTTCACCTACCTCTACTCCACTACACACTCCACTTCACCTACCTCTACTCCACTACACACTCCACTTCACCTACCTCTACTCCACTACACACTCCACTTCACCTACCTCTACTCCACTACACACTCCACTTCACCTACCTCTACTCCACTACACACTCCACTTCACCTACCTCTACTCCACTACACACTCCACTTCACCTACCTCTACTCCACTACACACTCCACTTCACCTACCTCTACTCCACTACACACTCCACTTCACCTACCTCTACTCCACTACACACTCCACTTCACCTACCTCTACTCCACTACACACTCCACTTCACCTACCTCTACTCCACTACACACTCCACTTCACCTACCTCTACTCCACTACACACTCCACTTCACCTACCTCTACTCCACTACACACTCCACTTCACCTAGACGGGAAGAAGAGGAGGCCATGTTATGGGTTGCTGCGTGTTTCAGAGAAGGGTTGGTTACAGAATGTTTACAGAGTGTTTCAGAATGCCAATGTTCAGAGGTTTCAGACTGGTTTGCACAGCCTCCGCCTCAACCTTGGTTAAATAGCCAATGTCGACACGCGCATCGTGCGCCACTCGGCACTAGACGACAACATGGGCGCGCAAGCCGAGGCAGACACGCGCATCATGTGCCTCTCGGCGCTCGCCGACAACATGGGCGCGCCTTTTGATGGCACGCCTTTTTATGGATTGGGCACGTCTTTTTATGGATTAGGCACGCCTTTTGAAAGATTGGGCACACCTTTTGAGGGTGCGACTTTTTAAGGGTCCGACAATACTCTGTAAACTATCCCGACATTGATTCCGATTAGCTCCTTCATGGGTCCGACAAGACTCTGTAAACTGTCCCGACATTGATTCCGATTAGCTCCTTCATGGGTCCGACAAGACTCTATAAACTGTCCCGACATTGATTCCGGTTAGTTTCTACAAGGGTCCAGCAAGACTCCGTAATCTGTCACAACAACTGTCACAACAACTGTCACAACATTGTCTGCTACAACGGTCCGACATGACCCCATAAACTGTCATCTACATTGGTCTGCCATAACCATACAGTCTTCTACAACGGTCTGACACGACCATACAGTGTCTCCTATCCTCTTTTATTTTATGTATTCGTCTATTTTCTTGTTTTGTTACTCTCTCCAAACTCAAGTTGGTTAGTTCCTATCCCCCTTGAGTTTGCAGGGGGCTGTTAAAATGTACCAAAACCTACCACTACACCTACTCCACCCACTTCACCTACTACTCCACCTACTACTCCACCTACTACATACCTACCTCCTTTAATCTTCTATATATAGGACTCATTGTAAACACAACATACATCAATCAATAAAACATACAATTTATTCTCTCTCTATCAATTTATTTTACATCTCTCTATCAATTTATCTTACAGTTTTATTGTATTGCAATGAGTCTCTGGGTCACCTTTGAACAATACATGCTAGTACTGTTTCGTACTTTAAACCAAGATTGTGATGATTCTAAAATCTCCACAAGACATGAGCTTGACACACAGTTCTAGCAATCAAGATACACATTTATAATTGACACCCTTAACCAATGCAAAACAAGCTTAGCAACGGATCGGTCATCTGAAGCATTTTCGAGATAGTCATACTCAAAAGATAGCAACTTACTACGCAGACAATAAACCTAGGAATAGTCATACTCAAAACTATTAATACATTAAAGCAATCCAATCACATAATAGTCCATTAATAGCTTATTTTGTTAAACACAGAAAAGACAAAGCCCAATGGAGACATGGTAACAAGAGGAGACTTCAGCCCCTGACATCAAGGTTGAGGAACCAAGTACCTGTCCAATTATTTATAATTTGGTTGGTAATGTGTCTATTATGGTTGATATAATCCCATTAAAATATTACTAGCCAACAAATCATATATACATATATTAAATCTTCATTTCTCAACCATGCAACAGCCTCTGATAAAAATATATCTAAATGTACAACTTACAAGTAAAATGCTATCCTAGACAAACAATTTCAAGTTTGGATAATGATTTCACTGTTACAGTCGCATAATTTTAAAAATCCACACCCAAACCACATGAGAAGTTGGAAGAAATTTAGCTCAGTAAAGACAAATTCTTACCGGTAAGTGGGTTTTGGCCATCTCTTCTTGCCACAAATATCATGCAACTTTTGTTTTGCTCCTTCAATCTCATTGGTTAAATTCATACTGCTGTAGACGTCAACATTCATTTTGTCCTCGTTGTTAGAGTGAGACAACTTCTCCAAAGCTGTCTTTGCTGCATGAAGCCTATTACTAGCCACAAATATCATGCAACTTTTGTTTTGCTCCTTCAATCTCATTGGTTAAATTCATACTGCTGTAGATGTCAACATTCATTTTGTCCTCGCTGTTAGAGTGACACAACTTCTCCAAAGCTGCTTTTGCTGCATGAAGCCTGACATTTTCATTTTGCTCAGAGGATGATGAGGCAATAAATTCCTCGTCCACGTAAACGATGGCGATGTTCTTCTCCCCTCTTCTCCAGTGCTTGATATCCACTTGCTTACCCTCTTTTTGACAAAAGTCAAAAAGCATGGTCACGGGCTGTGGTCGTTGCTGGAGAACATCAAGCGTAACAATAGGCTCCAATATACCTCTAAAGATCTATAATACATGAAAAAAACTATGTCATGAAAATTCTTTTTAAAAAAAAACTACATGTCAAATCTTAGTTTTATGTTGGGAAGTTCATTGCAAATACTTGTTACTTTGAGATACCACAGTTGCCCAAATTAGGATAGAACCTAGTAAATTTCTATACTCCAACTTTTTATTTCAGAATTCTAATGAAATCTACGTGAAATAGACAGCTGTTGTTTAATCTAATGAAATCTAATTTACTCATGTTCCAATTCAACAGGACCCCCATGAAACCAAAATATCCCAAATTCTTAACAAATTTAAAGAAACAATTGTCCATAAATTACAGAACTACGCACCACCCAAAAAGCTTGCAGATCAAATTGACGATCAACATAAACTGCTGCAGCAACAGACTCAACAATGTCAGCAAGAACCTTCGGCGCTATCACCGTCCCTCCATACACCACCGAATCTGCCTCATGCTGAACAGCCAACGTGAAATCCCTCACCTACACAAAATCAAAGAACCAATTTTTTATTTCATAAACTCAAAAATCCATCTCCAATCCTTATTCTCTTTTTCATTAAATTTGAGTGAAAAAATGTTAAAAGCTTGATATAATATGGAACACAACAATCCTAACTCTCTCTTTTTTCATCACAACTTTTTGAAAAATTTCAAACTAATCCAAAAAAAATCTGCTTTAACCATTTTTAATGAAAAAAAAAATTTGTTCAAAATTTGGTGAAGGAATTGGTTACAGTGAATTTTTCATCAAATTTGACGAAACTCCAATCCTTGCTCTCTTTTTTTATCAAAATTGAGTGAAAAATTGGTTAAAAACTTGATCAGCCATGGCACAGACCAATTCTTACTCTCTTTTTTTCATCAAATCTTTTTAAACCATTTTTTATGAAAGAAAACCATCTTCAATCCTTAAATCTTTTAAAATTTAATCAAATTTGCGTAAAAATAAATTGTTGAAAATTTAGCGAAACCCTGGAAAATTGCCTCTCCTTGCTGGTTGGAGCATAATTTAGCCATTTTTTCATCAAATTCAAATTTGATGATGAAATTGATAAACATAGGGGAGACGGTTTTGTGCTAAAATAGTCTAATAAAAATAAAATAAATTAAAATAACTCAGTAAGATAAAATATTATATCAAAATTATAATCATTTTATTTTATTTTCTCATAACTATCAAATAAACTGCTTAAAAAAAAACTATCGACTCGAAAACACGTTTTTTAAGCGACGTTTAAACAAAAATGTTAGAGATCAAAAATTTTACCAAAAGTTTTATATGAACCTTGTGTGGATCTCACCATGTGACACATTTAGGAAAAAATTTAGTAGAATTTTTACTCAGATTTAAATAATAATAAAAAAATCAATTGAAACAATCAATTTTCCAAACGAGCTCTATAGATACATATATGCGTCTATATCTACTACCTTCTCATCAAGAGCGGCAGCGTTACGCCGGACGTACTTGTACAAGCCATGTCGTACGGCGGCGCGTGCGAGCTTCTCGGTGCTGACATTGGCGGAGCGAAGGAGAGTGAGTTGACCGGGGAGGAGGTCAGGGTAAGCGAGAAAGATGAAATTAGAGATCGCGATACCTAAGGCGGCGTCGCCGACGAACTCAAGCCTCTGGTACGACGGCGAATCGGTGCAGGAAGGGTGAGTCAGAGCTTCCTCCAAGAGCTTCTTGTCGTTGAATCGGTAGTTGAGAAGCTGTTCGATCGCTCGAACTGAATCGCCCATGTCCGTGATACACTCGTCGGCGATGGCGGCGGAGGTGTCGCCGGCGAATGTGCACGGAACAATCTTGAACATTCCTGATGTGTTGTTCATGGTTTGAATCGCAAGGGTTTTAGAGAGAGAATTTGGACAAGTTGAATATGAGAGAGAGAGAGAGCGCGCGCGTGGGGAAGTAACTCTCGTTACATGTAGTCAGGTGTCATGGTGCGTGAACAATGAATTTGGGATAACTTGTTCCATTTTTGAAAAGAAAAATGCTTTACCCCTTTAATTCTGGAGCTCCAAAGCATCCTAATAAGTTGACAGTAGGTTTCATATAATATTTGAATAATGTTTGAGATCTTGAATTTGGCCCTTTCTAATCTTCTTAATTTTCAAAACGATGCTATTTTGGGAATTTTTTTTTTTTCTTTCTCCATTTTCGACTCTGAAACAGGGAGAGAAGTAGAGGGGAGGGGAAGAGAGAAAGAGAGAGAGAAGACGATCGTCGATCGCCGATGCCCAGTCGCCGATCGTCGCCGGTCGTCGTCGCAGCCCCGCTGTCACAGTCCCCTCCTTCCTCCTCCTCCTTCATCCTTCCTCCTCCTCTTCTCCTTCTTTGCTTCTGAAAGGCCCCCTCCAGTCCCCTCCTTCCTCTTCCTCCTCCCCCTCCCTCCTTCCTTCTCCTCTCCTCCTTCTCTGCTTCTGGAAAAAAAAAAAAATTAGGGGGATTCGGGGTAACTCATTTTGAGCTACCCAGCACGACTCATAATATTTTGTCTTGGTTTGTTTTTATTTTATTTTTGCCTCCTTGTTAAGTCATTATTATTCTATTAGGACATCAAAATTAGTACTCTAAATTATTGTTGTTTTGAAAAGGATCTCCAATTTTATATCATATTGAAGGATATTGTTGAGTTGGTGGGGATTTATTACAAGTTTCATTTTGATAATTCAAATCGTTATATATAATTTGTTGAGTATTATATATTTGTAAAAAATTATATTGATCGATATCAATAGTTACTTGATCAAATTAGTTTTATATATAAAAAAAAATAGATAGTAAAAAATAAACAGTTAACAGAAATCTGATCCGATGAAATAATTCATCGATGTGATTTTTTAAAGGCATATAGTACTCGACAAGTTCTACACATTAAATGATTCAGATTATCGAAACAGAACCCAATGAGCCGCGCAGATCTAACAGTACCCTTTAGCTCGATTTGGGACCGGAGAAAAGCTAGTCCAATGCTTCTGTTAAACTTTCAATTTGATCAAATAATTAGGTTGCGTTTGGTTTAGTTTTGTAATTGTAATTCTCTTTTGGGAGTTATAAGTTGAATGTGAAATTGTGAGTTGAGTTTTGAAAAGATGTGTTTGGTTTGGTTTTTGGAGATAAATTTTCAAAAAAATACTTCGGGAAAAAATTTAGAAATTTTTTTTGTTCGTTTGGTTGTATATTTTAGAGATAGTTTTGGAGTATGAGAGTTTGGGATGATTTGTGATATTTTTGTTGTAGATGTGTGTGAAATAAAAAGTAATTAAGGAAGAGAGATGAGAGAGAAAAAGTGATTGATTAATGTGTAGAAAAGAGAAAGTGATTTTGAAATTTTTTTAAAAAAATTTCACACCAAACAAAATTTTAGAAATTTTTTTCAAAAATTGTGTTTTGAGAGTTAAACCAAACAAGGCCTTTGTTTGGTTAGAGTATCTCCAATGGTGAACTATTTTTTTTATCAAATCTCAGGAAAAAAAAAAGGCTATTTCTTCAATCTGATACGAGTTGGTCTAACGGTGAACACTGTTGCTTGCATCAAATGCCTAGGGACGTCCGGTGAGATGACCGGCCGGTCGACCGCTTACGCCATTAGTCCCATTCTGTGTCACTCATGGGCCTGAGCTCTCTCTCTCTCTCTCTCTATGTCTATGCGTGTGACCACTTCCATTAATCCATTTTAGCAGATACCCAGCTTTACTCGTCTCTCTCTCTCTCTCTCCCTCTGTGACCATCATTATTTCCCAACAGATGAAATGATGAAATGGGTTTCTCTAAAAACTGTTTCCAAGAGCTACCGTTACTAGAGACCCACTTTATATGTATCAATGTAAGAAATGGATCGGTTTAATCCTTCTGTAAAAGCACCATTTTTCACTCTCTTTCCTTAAAACCCCAGTGATCAAAACCCACAAAACCTTCATTTTGGCACAAACCCCACATCTTTTTTCACCCACATTCCTCCAAAAAAAGCAAACTCTGAAGCCCTCTGGCTGTTGCCCTCTGGCAAAATGAAGCCCTCTGGCTGAACTCAAACTCATGCCCTCTGGTCTCTCTTTCTCTCTCCCTCCGTGACCATCATTATTTCCCAGGGGATGAAATGGCGAAATGGGTTTCTCTAAAAACTGTTTCCAAGAGCTACTATTACTAGAGACCCACTTTATATGTATCAGTGTAAGAAATGGGTTGGTTGAATCCTTTTTTAAAAGCACCATTTTTTCACTCTTTTTCTTTAAAACCCCAGTGATCAAAACTTTTATTTTGGCACAAACCCCACCTCTTTTTTCACCCACATTCCTCAAAAAAAAGCCCCAGTTTTTTCACTTTTCTCTCTAACCTAATCTTTTAAAAGCAGAACCACCACTCTCAACTGAACTTATAAAGCAAATAGAGATGGGTTGTTGCCTCTAAACTAAAGGAGGAAGTAGTCTCTATTTGTAGAGAGAGAAATGGGTTTCTCCAAAGCTGTGTACCAGAGCTACCATTTTACTAGAAAGCCACTTTATATGTATCAGTGTAAGAAATGGATTGGATCGACAAAATGGGAGTTTTTTATGCAAGGGACAACCGGTGGGACATTCGGCCGGTTGTCTAGTGAGCCCACTTCCAACGTAAATGCATAATGTTTTGGTGAAATCTGCTCCGCTTCTCATTTTCGTGAAACTCTCGGTACATTCTCAATTAAATATCTATTTGGTGAAACCGTTGGAGCCATAAAAGTGATATTTTTTCATCAAATTCAAATCTGATGATAAATTTGATTCACCGTTGGAGATGGTCTTATGAATTTTAAAAAGAGTTTTGGAATTTTGAATTTTAAAAAGGGTTTTGAGTTTTGAAAAGAGTTTTGAGTTGTATTTTGAATTTTTTGGATTTATTTTTTTAAAATATATAATTTTTATTTTATTTTTTTATTTTATTATGTAAATATTTTAATTTTAATATTTTAAACTCAAAACACAACTCGACACTCAAATCGTAACCAAACAAATAACTCAAAACTCAATTCAAAAATTATTTTCAAAACTCAGAACCAAACACATAATTCGAAACTCCATACTACTTTCAAAACTCTACACTCAAATCATAACCAACACGTAACAAAAAAAATATTTAAAAATATATTTATAAAATAAAATAAAATATTTAAAATAAAAACTATATATTTAAAATAAAAAATAAATTTTTTAAAATTTTTTAATATTTAAAATATTAAAAAAATATAACATAAAAATGTATGAAATATAATGCATATTAAAATAAATAAATAAATAAATATTAAAAATATAAAATATTTATCCTAAAAAAATAAAATTAAGAAATTTTTTAAATATTTAAAAAAATAAATCTAAAAAATTTCAAAATACAACTCAAAACTCAAAATATAACTCAAAACTCTTTTTAAAATTCATAACCAAACAAATTTTCTTTTTTCAAAAATCATAACTCAAAACACGACTTTACACTCAAATCATGATTCTAAAAATAATTTTAAAAATATATATATATATATATATATATATTTTTTTGAATTTTTTCTTTTGAATTAGAGTTTTGAAAAGAGCTTGGTTTTGAGTTTTGAGTTGTGTGTTTAAACCACCTCCAACCATTCACCAAATCCATCATCAAATTCAAATTTGGTGAAAAATATGTATTTTTTGTGCTCCAACGGTTGCACCAAAACGGTATCAAAATGAGAAAATATTAAAAGTTTCACAAAACTGAGGATGGCTCGCCCCTTTCACCAATTTACCGTGGGTAATCGTTGAGTTGGACCCACCGGACGACTGGTCGGATGTCTGCCCAGATGATCGCTTTAAGACAAAAATTTGTGAAAATTTACATTAACAGGTCGACCACCTTAGCAGTTTTTTGAAGCAACAGAAATGAAGGCAAAAAAAATAAAAATTGCTCTTACCGGTCGACCCCCCGGACGACCCTCTCTGTTTGATGCACGCTACAGTGAACGGTTGGAGCTGCTAGTATCAAATTGAGAAAATTGGCTTTTTTTTACTCAGATTTGGTGAAAATTTTGTTCAACCGTTGGAGATGCTCTTAGTTATGAGTATTGAAATTAATTTTTAAATTGAGTTTTGAATAATTTTTGGTTGTGTGTTTGGTTATGAATTTTAAAAAATGATTTGAAAATTTTGCCTTTGGAATCATGATTCCAAAGGCAAACCAAGCACAGCCTTAGTTTTTTTATTGTACACAATACGGGGTACAAGATACGACAAAATAAAAATGAATATAGTTAGTTATTGTCCTATAATATTTTTGTTACAAAATTTCTTTATTGTTCTTGGTTTGAACAGGAAGAGGGTAAGATGAGAAGAAACAAACTAAAGAAATACAGAAATTCACAACTTGATTTGAATGTAAAGGAAAGAAACCTAAAATGTTGAAGCAAAGCTCAGCAAAACAAAGTCGAAGTGCGATCGAGTTCGAGGTGGGAAGTTGAAATGCGAAGTACGAAGTCGATCTCGTCTTTCTTACTTGTACTCGTCTCGATCTCGTGTTCTTTTCTCTCTCGATCTCTCATATTCTTCGTCTCTCGATCTCTCCTATTCTTCGTCTCTCGATCCTCTTTTCTCTCTCTCCCTCCCTCTCTCTCGATTTGTCTTCTCTCATGTATGTTCTCTCTTTCTCATCCCAATATTATTTAAAACTAAGGGTAAATTACATTGACACCCCTTGAGGTTTGGTCCAATTACTACCCACCCCTTGACGTTTTGGAAATTACATTCTCACCCCTGTGGTTAATAGTCTCATTTCACAAACCCCTCTGCTTATATAAAAAGTAATAACTCCAAGTAGAAAAACAGAGGAAATTATATATATTTTTTAAAATGTACAAGAAAGGGGAAAAAAAAAGAAAGTAAAGCAAAGCCAAAAAAGAGAGAGTGCATGAGTTCGATATCTTCATTTCGTTTAAATAATTATAATGACATGGGGGTTAGTGTAATTTTCTAAACGTTAGGGGATGATATGTATTAAACCCAAACCTCAGGGAGTGTAAGTGTAATTTACCCTAAAACTAATAATGGCTTTCTCAAGTTCAACAAGCTATGACTCCACTACTTTTATTTAAATAAGGTATGGGCTTCCCTCTAGTCTATGATCGAACTTGAGAGTACTGTTGTGCCTATGGGGGCCCGTCGTGGGGTCCGTTTCGATAATTCAAACCGTTTAATGTGTAGAACTCGTCGAGTACTATATACTTGTAAAAAATCAAGTTGATCGGATATTGATAGTTATCTCATTGAATCAGATTTCTATCAACCGTTTATTTTTTCAACATCCAATTTTTTTTAATACAAAACTGATTTGATCATGTAGCTATCAATATCCGATCAACGTGATTTTTTAGAAATATATAGTACTTGACGAGTTCTACACATTGAACAGTTTAAGTTATCGAAACGAGACCCATATTAAACCCCCACAAACTTAACAATACCCTTTCATCCGATTACGGATCGCAGAAAAGCCAACCACTTAAGTAATATCCCACCACTACTCCACTATTTTTATTTAAATATAATGACTCTCTCTCTCCCCACTATTATTTAAAGACAATCATGTTTCTCTCTCTTTCAACTCATTACTTTTAAAATAATAACTTTAGAAAGATAATAATTTTATTTAAAAAATATTTTATATTATATTTAATTAATTAAAAATATTTTTATGTTATATATAATTAATTAAATATTATTTAAAAATTTATTTAGATAAGTTTTCAACATGATAATTTAATAAATATTTTTTAAAAATAACTATTTACTGTATCCTCTTATCCGTATCTAAATTTAAATCTATATCCCCGTATCTTTCATTTTCAATTACCCTTAAATATGCACCCGCACTTGATACCCGTACCCGAGTCCGTGTAACGTAAATAAGAGTCTATTCACTTATTTTGTAACACTAAACTCTAACCGATCGGAGTTTATAAAATGGCATTTTTGTAAAATCTTGTAGGAATAGATCATTTGCCTTTTGAGAAATTGTTTTAAATAAATCTCTGTTTATTTTTAATAATTTTTTTAAATGTTGAATATGAAAAAGTTCTTTAAAATAAGCAAAATTATACACATTTCTTTTTGAGTATTTGTTTATTTGTAGTATATTAGTCAACTCAGAGTTAGAGTGAGTTTGGCATTGGTTTTTTAATAATTTTAAAAATTGGTTGTCTGAGAAGTTATTCAAAAAAAAAAATTGTGAGTGGAAAATATTTTGGTCGTAACTTTTTTGTTTGATGACAACTAATTTTTTGTTTTTTTTGACTTATTTAGGGTTGTTTTGAAAATTGATTATGTTAATTAGTTTTTTTAATTTTGTACGAAACAACACACAAAAAAGTAACAAAAAGAGTTGATTTCGTTTTGATTTTTTAACTATTTGATTGATAGCCAAAATAAGTCTTCGGCGTTGTTTGGCAACCTACTTATTTAGCATACTAATGTCTTTTTTAATTTATGTAACTCATTTCAAACCATGCCTTAAAAATTCAAATGAATTTGGTCAGATTTTAGGGGGTTTTTAGAAAGTGAAAAAATAATCAGAGTCAAAAATCAACTATTCTCTTTACTTTTTTATGTCTTTTTGTGAAAAATTAAAAAATTAACTAAAATAATCAATTTTCAAACAAACTCTTAGATTTTGTTCAATTTGAAATTGAAGTGCAAAGAAGTTGGTCCATGTCCAACTCGAGCTTGGGTTGTTAAAATTCATCCATTTGGGATTGTTTTTAGGAGAGATGAAAAAGTGTGGAATTCTAGTAGTGTTTTCTCCTGCGGCTTAAAGTTAAAAAATTTGCCTGATCAAAAGATTGTATAAATGCATTGAAATTATTTGTCCAGTTTAAAAAATAATTAAAGTTTTAAAAAATATCTGGTCAAAAAAATTTTAAAAAAAATTGTCAGGCACGAAATGCAATTATTTCTTAACCGTGTTGCTTAATGTAAAAAAGTGTCTGATCAAACAAATTTAAAAATTTGTATAAAAATAGTGAAAATTTTCAAATGGATAAATTACATCTACCTCAATCAATTTAAGTAAATTCAATAGATAAGAAAGTGATTTTGTCATTTACATATTTACAAAATATTTAAAATAATATAATAATTTCATCACTTTGTTAGGAATAAGTATATTCGATAATGGGTACAAATAGTACCGATAAAAGATAAGTTGAGAGAGAATAAATTGAGATAATTTAATCATATACAACGAAGATCAACAGAGACAATAATGAAGAGATGCAATACAGTGACAGTAGATAATAGTGTTAAGAGAATGGTAGACCTAGAGATATAAATATTCTTAATTTAACTAACGAAATGATCTTGAATATAATTGAATGGAAAATAAGGATTTATGCAGCCCAGTCTATTTGAGAAAACTTAAAGTTTGATTTGATTTAATTTGGTAATAATTTCATCACTTTCATTACTATAGTAAAGCTACCCCATCCAATTTCATCAAAATTAATAGGACAAATTGTAATTTTTTATTACCGTGTTTAAATTTTAAATTTGTAGAGAGAATAAAAATAAAACAAAATAAACATCGCTACTAAAAACAATTTCTTGAAAACTCGTTTTAGATATTAAACTTTTGAGTATTCAAAGATGCTCTTGTTATTTCCAAAATGACGCCCTGTTTGACCTCCAAAAATATTAAAAATTAATGTCAAGGCATACTTCAAATAATTCATCTTTTTATCTTTTTTCCATCACATCACCTCTCTACTTTTCTGCACATCTTTTCGTAAAAAGACAAAAAGTACACTTATTTAGGTCATTCTAAATAATAAACTACAAAAGAAAAGCAGATAAAAGCAACAGTTGGGTTTTGGTATAAATAAACCAGACAAAGGGCAAGACATGGGTTTGTTCTGTTAGTCCCAAGTCTATTCCTTCATACATGTAATTACTACAGAATTTGTGATAAAAAGGTAGGGTAGAGATAAAGATAACTGAAAATTCACATTCACATACACAGTACTCTTGCTTGTAGAAGTAACAACAGAAGGCAAAAATCCAAAAGCACCAGATGTCAGTCGGTTTAGTTCACCAGCATATGTTCGAATCCTCCTCCAGCCTGTAACCCGACCCGAGGTCCCTGGACATTGTAAAGCAATTGCTGTAGCCACCTTCTCGTTGTCGGATCTTCCTGAAAATATAAAGAGAAGCATTGAAGTGACCATCCACCAAAGTAAAAAAGAGGGGGCCTCCAAACAACAACACATCCTAGGGCTGCAAATGAGCTAAGCTAAGCTGAGCTTTGGAGTATTCGAGCTCAAGTAAAGTACGAAGAATCAAGCTCGAGCTCGGCTTGAGTTAATTTAATTACATAAACAACTTGACCTCGAGTTCGAGCTCAAAAAAGAAAATTAAAACTTAATTAACATGCACATTAAGAGCAAAAGGAGAGGATTATGAACAAAATATAAAAGAATGCTCACATTAACAATAAGTTTCATCAATTGAATATGCAAATTTACACAAATACCAAACATAAACAAGAAAATATCAATTAATGAAAATATAATTGTTATATTATTAAAGAACATTAATTTATGTATTCTTGCGTTCACAAGTCAATTCGAGCCGAGTTTGGTTTTACTCAAACTCGACTTTGTTACCAAAGGAGCCTAAAACTTTGGCTCGAGTTTGAGGTTCATAAACAACTCAGTTGAATGTAGAGGGGCGGCTACTGATGTACATGAGCACCAAATTTGGCTTGAGCTGTTCATGAACACCAAATTTCCTTGAAAGTTGAAGGCTTACTACTGTACATGTTCAAGAAAGCATTACTTTCATTTCATCCTCCCTGACAAACACAGGTATACAGGAGTGGCTTTCCAACTAAGTATGTTATATTGGCTATCAAATTCGAGACCGAGTTAGCCATGATGTTCTGATTTACAAACCAACAACTCGGCTTTCCTAACTGCAACGACCCAAAAAAACCCGATACTACCCTAGTGGACATTGGATGCTCAGTTGCATCTCGAAGAATAGCTTATTATTAACCAAGGAAAAGTACAGACCCCTCTAGACTACAAAATGATATTAACTACGGTGCAACAGTGGATATCAAGTATGCCAGTAACATTAAAATGACAACCGGCATGAGCCATACTAAAATTTCAAGGAGTTAACGCAATGACTCCATGATACACAAAAGTTGGAACTCTAAAAATTTTAACCAGCACTTACACGAAGGCATGTACTAAAGGTGGCATCCCTAAGCATGTCTGGCAGACAACTTCGTAATGCATCGCAAGCCCTGCATCATAAAGAACCAAAGATCATTGATTTAGTAAATATATGAATATGAAAAATAATAAAGGGTGAATGACAGACACCAGCATTCTATATTTTATGATTGAAATAGCAAATTAGTCCACATTATGCAATTGACTAACCTTGGGTTATCAGATAGTCGAAGATAACAACGAATAATATGTTTTAGCAGCCGTGATGAGGGTTGTTCAGCAAGTGCTGCCACCATATTCCCCAAAACTCGACCTACAGCAAAAAACCGCTCTGCTGTGGTACATATATAATCCAAGCCCACATCATCCAACAAAATTTTTTGAACAATGAATGTTGCAACCTGCCAGCATAAAAATTACTGAGACTTCTATGAACCTAAGAGCCTAGTCCACGGATGGTATAAACATCTTGTTGGAGTTTATTACAAGGTTAGCATCATTTGAAAAACGAGAAACTTAAATAAGGAAGATAAGGGTCAGCATCATTTTTTTTGTTTAGTTTTTTTTTTGGCGTTATTTGTGTCTTCAAAAACAAAACAATGAGAAGTATGAAACACCTATAGTTTTCATTTGTGTGCAAAAACAATTTTGAAAATTCAAAAGTAACTTTTCTGATGTTTCCTTGAAAAGCAGGCTATTCAAAAAAAAAATTTCTTTTCCTGAAACTGATTTTGGAAACAGTTTGCCAAATAAGTTTTTTGTGTTTACTGAAAATGAAAACATAAAACAGAACCAAACAGTTGCATTGCAAGGGAACTAAAATAACACCCAGGGAACCTGTAACCTTATTTATCTCTGCAGGATGTGCTGCTACTAATATGAAATAAACAGAACATATTCTTGGACTTAGACCAACTTCAACAAAGGAAAGGAATAAAGGATAAGGACAATTGTTTTCTTGTTATCTGAAGAAGAATATTACAAAAGGAAGAAACTAGAAAGAATCCATTATCCTCGTATCGACTTAGGCATTACCTATAACTACCAATGTTCAATAGTGAGACGGAAACTACTAGGACGTTTGAACAACAATTAGAGAAGAAAAAGTTTTTAAAAAAAAAGATTCAAAAGTGACACTTACTGTTTTTGATAGTTCACTGCCCATCTCCATTGTCCTTAGGCACAGCGGAATTATTTCTGTTGAGAGAAGGAAGCTGATAACCTCTGTATCATCAACCTGAAATACGAAGAAGAAAAAAAGAGATGTATTGACCTTCATAAATATTTCAAATAAAAAAGACAAAAATAATGACATGAACAAAAGGGTAGTTATTAGAACCACCAAAGAGGAGAATAGTTATAAATTTACATTTTTTTTTTCTTTTATCAATGAATTTCAAGTTTGTTTATTTAAATTTGTAATGTATTTCATGTGCCTAAGCGATACATGTGTTCCCCGCATGTCTCAAGTGTATCCGAGTTTTTTTTAATTTTCAAATAATAGTAGGACATGTTTGGAGACGTGTCCAAAAGGTGCTGAGAAATGTCCGGCAAGTGTTGTGTCATGTCGGTATCCGATACGACATGCCACCTTTTTAGAAGTGTCCACGCTTCTTAGATTGGTAGTACCTAACTGCTCTAATGTAATCAAAACTTAAAAAAAAATTTGGGGTGGGGGAGGGGGCGGGGAAGAAGGGGTAGATGAAAAGCTGATAAGGGACATATATAATAAAGAATTCAACACTTCACTTATCAAAATGATAAGGAAAAAAAAATCAAAACTTCTCTGTTTGAGGTAAAAAATTCCTCATGGGTACCGGTGAGATTGAGGCAGTAAAAGCAAAATTTACAACATTGGCTGCAAACAGCTTCTCAATATAACCAGCTGCCCATGACTAACATTGTCAATAGTAGTTAATTATTGTTCTTTTAAACCGATTTTTCTTTAAAATTTCGTACATAAATCAACTTTAAATAAACATATCCACCTCCAAATATAATGTTGCACACTATTATATAAAAAAGAACAGAATAGTCATGACAATACACACACACACAAATATGCCAAATATATGTCAGTAGGAAGAAGCACCTTCACCAAAGCACCAATGACGCCCAAGGAAGTAAGCCTTAAGTATTCAAATGGCCTTGATTTGCTTGTTGTATTAAGAAAAGGGTACAGATATAAGGGAATGTGGGCTGCAAAGGAGAAACCGTCAGTCAAAACAATTTCATTGAAATTTGAACAGATTTGTGAGAACAAATGTATCAACAACAAGCCCAGGAAAGAGTAGCCTATTTGTCTTATTCTAACACAAGGCTCACTGAGGAGGAACTTTGTTGACTTCAAAAAAGGTAGAACATAAACTGCTAAAATATAAGTTTAATCATACATATAAAGGTAGCAAATCATTAATCTATTAAAAAAATGGATAAAAAGCTATCAAATGGCTAGCTGATTGGAAAACTTTACACTTTTCATCATTAAAGCAATTTACTCCTCTATTAGCAAGCCATGTAGAAGGCACAAGAAGGGAGAGGAATCCTCTAATACATTCTAACTGTAACAATACTACAAATCTAACAAAATGGTGGTAGCACCCACTCAGCATGGTTACAAGATGTGTGGCATGGAATCTCAAAAAGGAGGAAAGCGACAAAACTGTTGACGTAGGTGTTCATAATGGAACTGACATTGCAGTAGCAGAACTAAATGTCCATGTAGCAGAACTAAGCGTTCAGATGTGAAAACTGGCAAAGGTAACATGACACTGTTTGCTCTTCATTTATTCAGTAATCAGTATCTAAGATAAAATTTACCTTGTTGCGATGAGACTTTGTTCTCCTAGTATTCTGAAAGGACTAATATACTATAGACCAGCATTAAAGTAATTTGAAATATAGGGTCTGGGTTAGTCCCCAATGGATGGAAGTTCCCCCGCCCCCCAAAAAAAAAAATTTGAGATTGACTTTAAGATCTTCAAAATGTGCATCAAATAAAAGAAAAAGAAAATTTTAATCTCAATTTGTACTAGATTTCACATGATTTTAACACAAATAACCAGTAAAGATGATCAGCATACCCCGAAAGAGGCTCTTATGACAAATGGATATGCATTAGACTCAAGAAAACAAAAATGGGAAAAAATGGAAATCCAATTGGTGCAGGTAATAAAGTCCTTATGTGTTGACATGATCCCTGAAAATTACCATTGAGGAACAACATTCTTGTGTCTGGGTGAGAGGCCACACACTGCAAAAGAATATAAAATGAATACACAGCATTAGTAAGAATTCACAATGTATTTGGAGGGGAGGGGGGGAGTGATATGGTAAATTATTATTTTGACTGTCAAAATTTATTCTCAATATCCTCCAACTTATAACTTTTCCAATGAGCCCTGGAACTTTCGTAAGTACGCCAATGTAGTACAACTCATTAACAAAGCTGAGAAAACTAATCTCCATTACCTAAACCTACAATTACCAATGGTTTCCTCTCACTATCTCTATTTCTCATGTTTAGGCAATCCTTTTCTTAGTTTAAACCCTAAAACAAGCTTAAGTAGAAAGCACAAAATGTAATAGGATAAATTGTTTTTTGATAAATAAAGAGTAAAATTTTATTAGAAGACAATATGTAATAGGATAATTTTTGGGTGCTGCTACTAGCGCCCACTTAAATTCTTTGAACCCCCACCAACAAATTTCAAAATTTGCAAAAATTCATGGACACCCCACTTAATACCAAAAATAACCCCACTATCAAAACCCTAACCACCACCCACCCAGCCCGTTAGGTGGTTCTGCGCCAAGTGCAAAACAAAAACAAAAAAAAAAATAAGAGGAAAATGACCGATGATGTAAAACTTACAAGATATAAATGTATTATACCTGAAGGAGGGCAAGTGCATTGCAGACACGGTTCGATTGTGCTGGGGTAAGGTTTGGTGGTGATAAGACGGGGTATATGGAAACTATCTCCTGCAAATAACGGGAAATTCCATTAATCATACAAATGGCATAATATGATATGTATCCAATCAATTAGTTACAAACAAAAGAACTACCAATCTTAAAATTTTACTTTCTCATGATATGATAGACCGTAAGATTCTGAATAAACTTGTATATTCAACTATCAATGTTTACAAAGTATTCATCAGTTTATATAGCCCTAAATCTATGGCTTAACAAGGAATGACGAAAAAGGAAATATGTACGCTTAATTAACGCCTAATTCCTAATAAACATAACCATGCCATAAATACAATCTTGCCATATATATAATATATTCTCACACCCCCGCTCAAACTCAAGGTGTTTCAGCAGAAAACACTGAGAGTTGGCAAAGAATAAATTGAAACCGAATGGTAGTGTGAGTCTTGGTGAAGAAGTCCACAAGTTGCAAAGCTGAGGAGACAAAAACAAGCAAGAGAGAGCCAGACTATAGATGCTAGCGGACAAAGTGACAATCAATCTCAATGTGTTTCGTCCATTCACGGAAGATAGTATTGTGGGCTGACTGCGGTTGTCACAATATAGATAGGTCGGAGAAGACTGAGGGACACCTAAATCAAAGAGAAGACAACGAAGCCAAACAAGTTTAGCAGTAGCATAAGCCATAGCACGGTACTCAGCTTCGGCAATAAAGCGAACAACAACAGTTTGTTTCTTGCTTTTCCAAAAGATCAAAAAATCGCCAAGAAATATACAGAAACCAGAGGTGGGCTTGCAATCATTAACATCACAAGCCCAATCAGAATCAGCATAGGCCACCAAGTCTAAAGAGGAAGTAGAGGATAACAGTAAACCCTGAAAGATGGTACCTCGGAGATAATGAAGAATGCGAACCAAAGCAATGGGTAGAGCAAGGAGCAGAAACGGACTGACTAACCACATGCACAACATAAGCAAGATCAGGGCGAGTAACAGTCAAATAAACTAAACAACTCACAAACTTGCGATAGATAATGGGATCATCCAGAAGGACACCATCAGTAGAGTTGAGCTTGACATTAAGCTCAATAGGTGTATCAAAAATCTTAGTATCAGTAAGACTGGCACGATGACTAACCTCATTAGCATATTTTGCCTGAGACAGGAAATAGCCTTTTGGAGAAGAGGCAACCTCAATACCAAGAAAATACCGTAATGGACCCATATCTTTTATTTCGAAGGTGCAAAACAGATGTTGCTTGACCTCAGAGATAGCAGAAGAATCAGAGCCAGTGATGATTATATCATCCACATAGAGTAAGAGGGCAACAAAACCAGCCGAGGTATGTCTCAAAAATAAAGCAGAGTCGGAAGCAAAAGGATGAAACCCAAGCTCGGTAATAGTAGTCTGAAAACGATCATACCAAGCACGAGGAGATTGTTTCAAACCATACAGAGCATGCCGAAGATGACAAACCTGCCCAAAGGAGTGGAGAAGGCCAGGAGGACGCATGTAGACTTCCTCAGTGAGATGAGCGCTAAGAAAAGCATTCTTAACGTCCATCTGATAAAGAAGCCAATGTCGAACAGAAGTAACAGAACTCAAGGTACAAACAGTAGTCATCTTAGCAATATGGGCAAATGTCTCCTCATAAGTGCGAGAAACCCTTTGTAACCAAGCGAGCTTTGTATCGCTCGAGAGAACCATCAGAATGAGTCTTAACTTTATAGACCCATTTGCAACCAATCAAATTCTTGCCAGCAAGTAAGGCCAAGTTTGGCTACAAAAAAAAAAATGCACTTATTTCATCTTTTTATCTTTTTTGGGTCACATCAATCAACATCTCCTCTCTACTTTTTCTACACATAATACAAAAAAAAGTCAAAAAGTACACTTATTTAGTCTTTCCAAACTAGGCCTAAAGAAACCCACTCCCAAGTATTAGTCTTCTGCAAGACAAACAACTCATCCTCCATAGCTTGAACCCAATTAGGATCCTAACAGGCCTCCGTGTAAGACTGAGGTATTGAAAAAGAATGAATAACAGACAAAAAAGTACGATAGGAAGCAGAAAAACATATATTAGACCAACCCAACCTGTTTGGATGACGACACTGACGTGTAGGATATCGGTGCTTAGCAAGATTAGAGTCGTCAGAAGCAGGAGGAGCAACAACAGGAGTAAAGACAATTGGTGGTAGAGGAACCCGGCGACAAGAATAGACCAACAACGGAGGGGAAGAAGAAACCCAAGGAGGAGAAGCAGCCTATGAAGCACGGACACGGACACGGACACGCATACGGACACTGACACGGACACGGGACACGTCAATTTTTAAAAAATGGGGACACGAACACGGCAGGGGACACGGCAGATTTTTTAATTTTTTTATAAATATTTTTATTTTAATACATATTAATTATTTTATTTATTTATTATATTTTTTAAATAATATGTAAACTGGGGCAGTGAGAGAAGAAAGCTGAAAGTAAGGTAGGCGTTCGAAAAAAGAAACATGATGGGAGACATAAAGACGACGGGAAACAGGGTCGTAACACCGATAACCTTTCTGAATAGTACTATAACCCAAAAAAGACACAGAGGACCGACCGGGCACTAAGTTTGGTCCTATCTTTGCAGGGAAGAAGGACAAAACAGGCAAACCCAAACACACGAAGGAGGGAGTAGTAAGGAATTTGGAAGAACAAAGCCTCATAAGGAGACCGATCAGAAATAAGAGGAGTAGGCATGCGGTTGAGAAGAAAAGCAACAGTAAGAACTACCTCCCCCCAGAATGGAGCCACAATCGAGGCAGAAAGAAAAAGAAACCAAGCTGTCTCAAGGAGATGACGGTGTTTACGCTTGGCTCGACCATTTTGGGCAGGTGTATCTGTACAAGAAGTTTGGTGAATGGTACCCAAATTGGTCAAATACTCACAAAACTCATTTTTAAAATATTCTCCACCCAAGTCAGGCCGTAACACTTTAATTATAGACCCAAGCTAAGTAATCATAGACTGAAAAGTACGATATATCTGATAGAAATTGGACTTATAAGCCATAAGATAAACCCAAGTATAACGGGTGCACTCATCAACAGATAACACATAGTATGCAGAACCCCCTTTGGTAAGAATAGGAGAAGGGCCCCAAACATTAGTATGAACTAAAGAAAATGGTGTATCAGTAATAGAAATACTTTTACGAAAAGGTAAGACAGTCATTTTGGCAAGTTTACACCCCGGACATTCAGTACGTTCACTAGGAGAAACTTTACCTAATATACCAAACTGAACTAAAGACCGTAAGCGATCAGCCGACAAATGCCTAATCTAAAATGCCACAAGTAGAAAGGACTAGACAGAGAATCTAACTGAAAAGAGGAAAAGACAGTTGGAGGGGTTGCCATAGGCAGATGCAAGCTCTCCACCACATAGAGGTCTCCAATTCTACGGCCGGTCCCAAACTGCTGCTTAGACATCCGATCCTACACAAAACAATAAGAAGAAGAAAATATAACATCAAAACCAGAGGCATCAAGCTGACTAATAGATAATAAACTGACAGATAATTGAGCAACATAAAGGACAGATGGAATAGAGGCAACAGACATAGCAGACGGTAGGACAGATCCAATAGATATAATAGACATACCAGACCCATTAGCAGCATTGACAATAATAAGAAAGGGAGGAGGAGTACAATTTTAAAGTAAGGAGAGATAGGGAGTCATATGATGAGAGGCATCAGAGTAAAAAATCCAAACAGACGAAGAAATACCTAAAGAAGACCCAAGCAAGCCTAAATGAAAAGATGAAACAATGGAAGCAGACGGAGATGGCTGGGAAGTAGACAACATATGCTGAAGGTGACTAATTTGAGCAGTCAAGGAAGCCAAGTCAGGATCAGGAGCCGGAACAGATGCAGTAGAAGCAACAGGAGGCCAAAAAGTACTCAAAGCAGGACCTCGGAACTGGGTCTGAGGCGGCTGAGAAGACTGAGCAGTTACAAGCGAAGCAGACAAAAATCCCTTCTTGGGACAATGATACTTCCAATGACCCCTTTGATGGCAGAAGGCATACTCATTAAAAGCCAGAGACATCATAATAACCAGAAAGTTGAGAGGTATAAGTGTAAAAACCAAAATAAATTGAGGGGTCAAACTATAATAAATCAAATAGGCTGATATTTGATGGTCAAATACGACCAAAGCAGAGCCAGAAAGAGAGAGACTGAAACCGAAGTTAAAGTCAACGAACAGATGGGTTACAGTTTTAGGTTGATCACCAACTAGAGAACCAGAAGGCATGAAGCAAAAGCAGAAGCAGAAGCAGAGGCAGAGTTGAACTCAGATGAGTCACGAAGCAGAGGTGTCAGCCATGAATGAGTCACGAAGCAAAGGTGGCTGGTGTTGCGACCTAGGATGAGTATCGCAAACAAACAACCACGAACGGCAGAGATGGAAGCCACAAAATGGAGTTTTGGTCCTAGGGTTTAGTTGAAAAAAAAAAAAAAAAAAAAAAAAAAAAGAGAAGAATAAGAATAAGAAGTCATCGATTCAGAGGCAGGATTTTGGCTCAGAGGCGGCTCTGATACCGTGTAAGATTCTGAATAAACTTATATATTCAACTATCAATGCTTACAAAGTATTCATCAGTTTATATAGCCCTAAATCTATGGCTGAACAACGAATGATGAAAAAAGAAATATATATGCGTAATTAACGCCTAATTCCTAATATACATAACCATGCCATATATACAATCTTGCCATATATACAATATATTCTCACATACATGTACCCGCAATTTAGTCCCTAGGTATGGGTGTTGGGTATAGGTGCATATCTAGAGGTTCAATCTATCAAACCTCAAATTTAAGGATATGTGAACTCAGCAAAAAATGGTGATATTTTTATATTTTTAATCCATTATGAAAGGTAAATGGTGTTATATGCAACATATAGCGTCAAAAAGGCATTTTATTCATTTTATAGGAATTATACAACAATATATACATATAATGATAGTCTTGAATACAAATATATAAGAAGTATCCAATAGAAAGAAAATATCAAACACATATCCCACACCCTTGTCAAAGAGGTAAGTGTTCAACAAAGGTACTTAATTTATTTTGAAGAGTCCATGTCCCATATCCCATTGGATGGAAGTTTGGAAGGTAGATTGGGTATAAACCTAGCCTTCAGCATTATTTGCAAAAAGTGGTTGCCCTCAGGTTCGAATCCACGATCTCAAGGTTGATAGGCCAAGTTTAACCACTGAACCAACGGCCCCTTGGCTGATTGACTACATATGCCAACAGAAAACATTCTTTTTTTTTAAAGAGGTTTTAAAAATAAAAATGAAAGTTCATAGAAACAAATCACAAATATGGATGTGTAGAGCATCAATTATGCATTTGATCAAGCTACCTGAAGTCTTACCTATTTGGGCCAAACAATTTTGGGGTAACTCATCAATAGACATCTGCATAACCTCTAAAGAAACCCAATCAACTCAGTTCCCTCCTAATGTTGCCACTCTTGACATAAGAAAATATCTCAAACCCTTTCTACACAAATATTCCACTATTGTCACATCCTTACCACTACAACATGAAAAATAACAGGAAACACATTCATCATCCTCTCTTCCCCACATTACCAATGAAGCCAAAACTTCACTCCTCCCATCCCCAATTATAACATCCACAATAGGGAGGGCTAACTTTGGGATAAATGTGGTGTGGTTAGTAAATCTGACTGAGTCAAGATTCAGAATATAGCTTTGTGCACTATGTTGACCTCAGCAGAAACATATACCCCTTATTTGCTGTGCTCTTTAAAGGAGCATAATATCTATCTGATTGACAAAAGAAAAGCTAAAACCAATAGCATTTTCTACTGATATAAATTATGATTGGAAAAGAAAATTAAGATAAGTTCTTTGACAAGCAGATTAGCCAGTGATTAAGGAAGAACGCTGCAGCAAACATTAACTGTGGGGCAAAAAACTGATTACAAAATATTATTATGAACAATATGGAGCATACCTGCAAGAGTGCAGCAATAGTACCAAAAGAGTTCCACAACAGTGGAGCCAAATCTTGAAATAATTCTCTCTTCTAAAAATAAAAACAAAGACAAACGCAAGTTTATTAGGCATAAATGTAAGAGAGCAGCTAGTATGAAAAGAATTACACAGAAAAAAGAAAGCCAAATCTAAAAATAATTCTTTGGACCAATGACCATTTTGAGAAAAGATATATGACAATGACCATTTTGAGAAAAATCATGGTAATTTGTTATCTATGCAATTGAATTCATACAGTCCCTTAATATCCAAATGCTCACTATGTTAGCATAAACTACTAATTTGCAAAAGTAGTTATTAATTGATAATAAGAAGGGAAAAAAATAAAATTGTTGTCAAACATGTTGGTCGATGACCACCACTAACATGCAAGTGGGAAAATCAGGGTGCAATCAAACTAATTGAAAGAATGTATTATATGTGTTTGTAGTTTAATCCCTGACTTTCTCTATTTGCAATTTAGTCCCTAGAGAGAGAGAGAGAGAGAGAGAGAGAGATGAGTAATTGGAAGAAAAGAAATTTTGGCCGATCTTAAAGATTGATTCTATACTTCTAATACTTTAGGAAGACGATAAAAAAAAATAATAATGATATTCTTGTTCCCTTTTTCTGTTTCATAATTGAGTAACTCTAATTTATGTGCCCTATTGGAAATCTCTAATTTCTATCATCTAATTTTTTGAAAGGCCTTGTTTGGCAAAGGCTAAAATTTGGCTGTTTAGGCTAAAATCTACAAGAAAACAAAATAGGTTAAAATAGCCAATAAGACAAAATATCATATCAAACCCATAATCATTTCACTTTTTCTCTCACATACATCACATCCAATTACAAAAAAATTCAATGTTCCCAAACACAAAAATTTTAGCCTACTAAAAAAGCCAAAAAGTAAAATAGCCTACTAAAATAGCCACCTTCCCAATATGCAGATATCTGGATTGTGAATTTGGGAGGATTTTTTTATTAAATATGTACAAGGGCCCCTCTTAAGGCTGTGTTTTGATAATGGATTTGGATAGCAATTTGGAAAGACAAAGGGAAAAAGCGAGTGTAATGTAGATGGAAGATAGCTATATTTTATTCAGATTTTAAGCTATCTTTCCCTTTCCCTTTCCCTTTCCCTTTCCACGTCTCTACTCAAATTCACAATCTCCACATCCCTACTCAAATTCACGATCCAAACACAGCGTTAGAGTTCTTCTAGGCCCTACCTCCACTTTCCTTCTTACCATCCTGCACATATACCAAAATCTCACTATAATCCCCACTTTAATCCCTCCATCAATTTTTTAAACAATGATATACAAATAGACCCAATTATAACTCGACTCGAAGTTTAGTCATAAGACAATTAAAAGGTCAGAGGCAAACTGAGACTAGACTAGAGTACAAGGGTACAAAGCGTATTTTGCCCCTTTTAATTTTGCATAATTTTCTCAGAAACCAAACAAAACAGAATTTCTCAAACATTTCGCTTATTGCATGTTCAATACACAACCAAATTGACAACAAATCGTCGACTCGCGTTCCAAAATTATATTTGTGAACTCAATAAAGGAAAAAAAATTAAAAGAAAATAGTAGCCCAGATCATAAGAAACAAAACCGAGATACATATACAAAGAATCGATAGGGATACATACATACATAATATATATATATATATATATATGTATTATACCTTGGAGAGCCAATATATATATATATATATATATATATATGTATTATACCTTGGAGAGCTCGAGAAGGGCGTTTTCACGGAGATCAGGGTTGCTGAGATCGAGCACCAACTGTTCGGCAGATTGCATTTTGCGATCCTTGTTAACTTCAATAGCATTCGAGGCCGGTGATCCGAGTCCGCCGAATGGAGAGTTCATAAACTGAGAAGATTTTCTCGCGCTTTCTCGCACTTTCCCACCGATTTTCTTGAGAGAGGGAGAGAGAGAGAGAACAAAGTAAGAGAAAACGAGGATATGAGTGCATTTGGTATTTATAGCACAGAGAGTTTTGAAATGTATGTATGCAAACATTGCACGTGCCATTCATGCGTGTTAATACGTTCTACAAGTGAAGGAACTATGATGCGCCGTGTGGTTTGTGCACGTGCCATTCGTGCGTGTTGATAACGTTCTACAAGTGAAAGAACTATGATGCGCTGTGTGGTTTGGTTTTTGTTTTTTGTTTTTTGTAACGGTTTTTTAATTTTTGTTTTGTGATTTGAGCTTTGAGAAACATGGATAATATCCAAATTGTTTTTTTTTTTTCAAAGTAAAATAAATGAAAAATAAATTAATACCAAAAGATGAAATTTTAATTCTTTTTTCCTTTTTTTTGCCCTTAGTTAACAATTAAGACGTGTCGTGTTGTTCAAATTTTTTTTTTTATAACAGCTTGAATTTGTGATTTAAGTCTTTGACAAATATAATAATAACTAAATTATTTAAAATAAAATAAAAAAACTTATCCTAGGGATGATAACTTTAAAAATAATTTCAAAAAATATGGAATTTTAACTTCTTCTTTTTTTTCTTTTTTGCCCCTAGTTCTACAAGTGTAAGAACTAAATTGTATCGTGTTGTTGTAACGGTTTGAATTTGTGATTTAAGCCTTTGATAAACAAGATAATAGCCATTACCATTAGAGATGATAACTTAAAAAAAAAAAATCCAAAACTACAGATTTTTGAATTTTTTTTTCCTTTTTGTGCTTCTATTTCTACAAGTGTAAGAATTAAGATGTGCCGTGCGTTTGCTTTTTTGTAACGGTTTGAATTTGTGATTTTTGCCATAGGAATGATAACTTTAAGAATAGTTTCAAAAATATGGAATTTTGAATTCCCCCCTCCCCCTTTTTTTGCTTCTTTTTCTACAATTATAAGAATTAAGATGTGCTTTGTTATTTCGATTTTTTTGTAACGATTTGAATTTGTGATTTAAGCCTTTGTCAAACATGATAATAACCAAATTATTTTTTTTAAAAAAAATTAGACAAATTTCAATAAAATGAAAAAATAGAAAAACAAATTAAAAATGAAATAATTGCCACAGGAATGGCAACTTTAAAAATAATCACAAAAATTTTAAAAATTTAAAATTTTCCTCCATTTTGCCCCTATTTCTCTCTTTCCTTCTCCCTTTCTTTCTTCATTCGCCCTCCTCCTACTTTCCTTCACCACCTCTAATCCCTTCTTTACCACTTCTGTACTACCATAGCACCCTCAGTTTTCAAACATCAATCGCCATATTGTGATCTCTATTTCTCTTGCATTCTTTCTAACTCTCTCACAGGTAATGAATATGAGAGCATGGTTTTGAAAACCAGACCTGACCGGTCGGGATTTTGGTCTAGATATACCCTTTAAACCGTTCGAAACCAAAAACTAACCTATTAACAGGGAAAACCAGCTGTTGAACCTGCGAATTGGGGGACGGTCTGCCGGGTCGCTGAAATTGAAGATTTTAATTTTATTTTATTTTTTTATTTCTTCTAACTTTTTTTTTATTCTTTCTTTTTTATTTTTATTATTATTATTATTGTTTGGCTGACTATTCCTAGTGACGTATTTTCTGCTGGAAGATTTCCATAGTGCGATGATCATTTCTAATCAATTGCTACTGTGATTTAACAATTTCTGATATGTGCAAGGATCCCACAGTCAGGTGAAACCAAAGAGTCCATTGTGTCATGACTACCATTAGGTTGCCAATTTCATGACTTTGTAACCTGAGGTAGGAAGCTTAACCACTACATTGGCCCCGTTTGGTAGAGCTGTGGGAAAGTGATTATAACTTATAGCTTATAACTGTAAACATAAGCTGATTTTTGACTTATAAATTAAGCTTCTCCTCCCCCACTCAAAGAATAAGTTGATTTTTGACTTACAAAAAGTTATAAGCTGTATTGTTAAGCTGAACCAAACACATCAAAATAGCTTAAATTAAGATAAAAGCTGAAATGGAATGGTGAAAAAAAATTTATGTACCCTACTTGATTGGGACTAGAGGCGGAGCTAAGTCTTCCGCTCAACTTTGAATTTTTTAAAAATTATATAATATTATGTAAATTTTTTAGAAATTTTACGTAAATTGACACCACTAAAATTGTTGAAAAATAAATATGATGGTGCCAAAATGATTTGTAAACAAAAACTTTGTACGAAAACACACATTCAAAATGACGTGTCAATGATATTTTTGAAATTCTTAGGACAATGGTGTATTTTTGATTGAAAATGAAAGAATAAGAAGTCACATTATTCTGTATACAAATTTTATTTTGGTAAATTACACTGACCTCCCCTGATGTTTGCCTTAATTACAGATACCTCCCTTGTGGTTTCGAAAATGACACAAACCTCCCTTACTTTTGAAAATAAAAGTTAGATTCCCCCTTCCCGTTAAAAGAGCCTTAACGACGTTAACTTGACAGTGAAATTGACCATAATACCCCTCTCATTCATTCCTATATATATAGAGAATATATATATAAACACATACATATCTTATATTGTATCCATTCCATCTCTCTTCTCTCTTATTCTCTGTGTGCTCTGCCCTCTCTCTCTCTCTCTCTCTCTCTCTCTCTCTCTCTCTCGCGATCGTTACTGCCTCTCTCTCTGCATCTCTGTCTCTCTCTCTATCTCTCTCTGCATGCGCAGGTTCTCGATTTGGGTTAAGAGTGGTTCGACTAGCTGGAGACGAGGGAGGCGAAGCTCGCTGACTCGGCTGTTATAACAAGCAACACTGCGCCAGTCGCAAGGAACTGAGGGCGTGAAGGAGTCCCAACCGTTGAGGAAACCGAGAGGGTCGTGGAGGTTGAGCTTGAAGGAAGTTAGGGCTTTGATCTCGGCTAGGGTTTCGGGGCTGGGCTTGAAGGAAGTCAGGGCTTCGATCTTTGCCTCTCTCTATCTCTCTCACTCACACTTTCTCTCTCTAACTATTTGTGTTTCCTCTTCTCTAGAAGCCACTAAAAGAAGACTTTTTTTTTGTAAAGATGAGGCATAAGAGGGGAGGTTGGATACGGGTTAGCACTTTTTAACCTCATATGGATGTGAATCATTGAGGTACTAACGCGACGGAAGAACCAAGCCAGAGTAGTCATCGAAAGCCAAAGTTGAATTTGTAGGGTCGTGATCGAAGGAGTCGGTGACGACATAGATCTGGCTGCCTTTGCCACCGAAGGCTGCTTGGGCGAACCCAATGATGCAATCGTTAAGTCGTTGGCGGTTGTTAGCCCAATTTGGGTCGCACTACCAACAATCGTCTATTGGGTTTCTAATAAGGCACAAGAGCTGGTCTTTGGAGCCGTCATTGTTGGTGTTGGTGGTGGTGGTGGTGGTGGTGGATAGCATTTGTCTTTTAGATATTGATACATTGAGTCTTCTGTTTAGAAAAATGTAGAGTGAGCCCAGATTAGAAAATAGTATAGTGAGCAAAACTCAGATGAAGACTTTTGTAAATTTTTGTTGGGAACAATGTAATAGCAAATGTGTAAAGAACTTAGAAGAACAGAGTGAGTGGAATTATAGAAACCTTAAAATGAGAGAAAAAACAGAGACGGCCAGATTTGAAAATGCTGCAATGAGGAAAACCCTCTTTTGGGATTTTTTTTTTTTTCTAAAAATAGAGGAAAGTCCTAAATATAGCAATGAGTAAAACTCAAATAAAGAATTTTGTAATTTTTTGTTGGAGATAATGTAAAGGGAGATGTGTGAAGAACTTAGAAGAACAGAGTGACCTAGATTATAAAAACCCCAAAATGAGAGAAAAACAGAGAGGGCCTGATTTGAAAATGCTGCAATGAGCAAACGCAGATTGGGATTTTGTCTGCAAATAGAAAGGGCAAGTACTTAAATGTAACAATGAGTAAAACCTAGATGAAGAATTTTGTAAATTTGCCTCCTCCTTAATCTTCATCTCTCTATATATATATTTGTTGTGTTTATGTTTGGATTTTGATCTGTTTGTTCTTTGATATGTTGAATCTGTTTGTTCTTTGTTAATGGTCAACATAAACCCTATAATGGCCAAAGGGTAGTATTGGAATTTGTAAAATAATTATGGATGACATCAACAAAATCTACTTAATTTTGGACGGATGGGTAATAGAGGGGGGAATCTGTATATTATTTTCAAAAGTAAGGGAGGTCAGTGTTATGTTTGAAACTACAGGGGAGGTCTCTGTTATTAAGGTAAACCTCAGGGGAGGTTAGTGTAATTTACCCCTTTTTTCCCCTCAAATAATACTAAAATTATCTTTGATAATGCAACGGTTCCAACGGAGGATGGATCAGGTTGATCACACTTCTAACGGGTTTGCTGGCCTTGAAGTCCACGGAGTGTGCCTGCAAAAAGGTCCAAAAGGAGAGGTAATCCCCCGGTGGACACTTCGACGATCGAGTTAAAATAGAGTAGATTGATTGCGTAGAAAGAGAAGAGAGGGATAAAGAACTTAACCTTTAACACATCTCGGAAGCTTCCTTATATCCTTTGCTCATTATTTCCTTGTCCATTCCAGTCTGTAGTGTTGGCCGAAAGTCTATATTCTAGCTCGCATCGTTCATGGTGAGTCTGTATCCTCCGACGTAAAGGGGTTGTCACATTTAATACTACAAGAGCCTCATTAATGGCATATGCGTGGGTGCAATAACTTTGCAAGATCTTTATCTGCTTATATGGCTAGGCCTCTGCTTGACAAGTGTTTGAATGTTATTGGTCCTAGCCTAGCATTGATTTCTTAGTGTTATTGGGCTTTGATCTCTAGACTGTGAACTGGGCCCTAATCCGTAGGTTGGGTCCTCTTAGGTGACCATTAGTATCAGTAGTCCCCCATTCCCGAGTGCAACTTTAGTCCAATGAAAAGAATAACAATGCGGGAAAGAGACCTCCAAGGCTTGGTAGGGGCAGGGATGCGTGGGTTAAAATGGTCAATTGTCAGGTTGGCTGACCGCAAGGGTGACCGATCGAG